TCGGAGCCACTGCAGAAGGATGGAGCTACTGAGACGTCGAGCAAGCTCCACCTTCTGTTGGTGATAATGTGGTCTCGATATCCGCATGAGTCGTTCCGTTGGGCGATTTCCAAGTCTACCGGCAATGTTCTTTCTTCGCGAAGATGGAATTTCCATGGAAAAGACATGCGGCCAAGAGAAGACCATTCCGGAGCCCATACTCAGATAATCGTCGGGGGTAGGCGGCCACGCGACTTCTGGACAAGCGGGCACCGGAAAAATAGTCCGCTGATTTCTTGCGGTCCGCTTGCAGATTTTCAAAAGAATGTTGGACGGGTAATTGAACTAAATAATCAACCACTTTAACTGTTAACCGGGTAATCAACCAAACTCGGGTAATCAAACCATCGATGACGCCTCTGCCATATAGAGTCTTACCTTTGCTCGGCGTACGCCCGAAACTGCGTAAAAAGAGTCCGAGCGCTCACTGGAAGAAATTATTTGACGAGCCCCCGCAGAAAACTCTGTATTGCTTTCCGCTGGCAGAACATCAGACAGTAAAGGAATTACCGCTCGCTGAGGGTTTAGCCACGCCCCAAACTTCTATTGACCGCCCGCAAAAGAGCGCGAGTTTGCAACCGCCTGTCCCCGGCAATTATCTGAGCACTTACACGTTGTTTGAGCGAATGCGAATTTGGAGAGCTTCAAAAAGAGCTCATTTCAGTCATTTTCATGCGCTAAGAAGCCCAAATATGGTTTCAGCATGACGAAAACGCTCCAAAAAGGAGATTAACCAGGATCGATCAAGGCAAGGATTGAGGCATATCTCGATAAGAAGTAGGGAGATGTTACATGCTTCGATTTGTCGAAAGCTTTTGACCGTATAAGCCATGGTAAATTATTATACAAGCTTGAGCCAGGGCCCGGCACAGATCGTCTGGAAGCAGGCTGGACTTCGTTTTTGAAGCAAACAGCAAAGGGAATATCGTTTTTGACGAGTCGGAACCGAACACCAAGAATAAGCGCCATTCAGTCGAACACAAGCTTTTCGGACAGGTTATCACACGATTGACATGCTCTATCGTACATAGCGAAAAGTGCGCGCGATTTGAAAGCAAGGCTTAAATAAACAAGTTGCTTGTTTACAGCGAACACAGAAGGATATGACACCAAAATTTAACTGTGTGTATAAAAAATTACTTGCAAAACTATTATGTAAAAAGATTTGAAAAGCTATGTGAAGTAATACCTTTTCCAAGATTAGATCGTCTCCAGACGGCCACCAGACGATCTAAGATCGTCTGGAGCATATACATTCGTCACTTCATATAAGTTTCGGATCTTTTTAGCATGGACGGATTTTCCGGTCAAAAATCTATCCCTGAGCATGAAGACATTTTCATATCATTGCCTTTCCTTTGCTTTTTGCCTTTCATTTCTTCTCGCTTTGTTAAATATCGCGCTCTAATGCCAAAGTCTTGTGCATGCGTAGTATTCAGCTCCAATTTGGATTTTCACTCTTATCTCACGTTTTTTTCTTTCAGAATAGTAAATCTCTCTTGTTTTCATCTTCCCTTAAGTAGGTAGGTCAAAAGGGACTTCGTAAAACTTCCAGAATTCAGGGGAGACTTCGTTTTCAGAAACCCTAGAAACCGACTCGTGCCGGGCCCTGGCTGAGCACTATGGCATCAGAGGACCCTTGCTTGAGTGGCTAAACTCATATCTGCACTCCAGATTTGTGACGGTTCGGGTGGGAAGAGATCATTCTGGACGTTTTCCTTGTACAAGCGGACTTCCGCAGTGCGGGGCTCTTTCACCCTTGCTATTCCTAGTCTACACAGCTGAGTTTCCCCAAATTTTGAAAACTCATCCTGACATACATGTGCTCATGTATGCCGATGATATTAAAATTTACGGCATATACAATAAGGATAATCAGAGAACAATCTAAGATGCCTTGCAACGTGCCATCAATAACATGGTTGAATGGTGCACAGCTCAGATAATCGCCGGGGGCAGGCGGCCATGCGATTTATGGGCGGGCGGGCACCGAAAAAATAGTTCGCTGTTTTCTTGCGGTCCGCTTGCAGATATCTGGAAGAATTCTAGCGAAATTTTAGGTGAATGCTTGGAGAACAATCGCGGTTTCCTTATAGATTAGCTGCGGCGCAGTGGCCGCATTCTCACGAACTTTCCGCGAGAATATGTAAAATTTTTGGGGGCCGCACGTTCCTTTGCGGAGGACCGCGCAGCCTCCAGGTACTTTCCGCTGAGAGGAAGTACCTCAAACTTGAGTAATTAAACCATCGATGACACCTCTGCCATGTAGAGTCTCACCTTTGCTCGGCGTACGCCCGAAAATGCTTAAACACCGTCCGAGCGCCAGCTGAAATCTTGACGAGCGCTCGCTGAAAGAGATTATCTGACAAGCGCTTGCAGAAAACTCTGTGTTGCTGCCCGCTGGCAGAACATCAGACAGTAAAGAAATTACCGCTCGCTGAAGGTTTGGCCACGCCCCAGAAATTCCGCTGACCGCTTGCAGAAAAGCGCGAGTTTGCGGACCGCCTGCCCCCGGCGATTATCTGAGTATTCAAGCTTTCCAATCCTATATTCCTCTTCTAGTGGCATCCCGATCTTCGCGTTGAAGTCGCCCACAACGAACTTGTAGAAGGACTTCTCGTTGCGGACGACGTCTTCGTAGAAAGCATCTAGCTCTGAATCGTCAGTTGCTGATGTTGGTGAGTAGTAGTTGATGATGCTCATGATCTTCTGACGTGGAGGTCGTAGTTTTAGAATATTTAGTCGAGGTGACAGGATCTCATGCGAATCGACAAGTTGGACGATAGATGGGTGGACGACAAAACCAACGCCTCCAACGTTTCGTGAGGGAAGCTTTTTGCCAGGAATGATGAGGGTCCCATCACTCATCTGTCGCACGTCCTTCTTCCTAGATTTCGTTTACTGCAGAGCGATGACGTGGTACTTGATGTGCTCTGCAGCGTTGAGAAGAGCGTGTAAGTCGGCGTTTGTGGTGACTGCCCTGGCGTCATAGGTGCAGAGCATGAGCAGTCTCCATAGCATGTCGTCAGGACAGACGCGTCGTTTTGCCCAATCCGAAAGTCGCCCTGAAGACCCTGACATCGTTTTTGCTACCATCCGCTCAAATAATCGCCAGGTCAGACGGTCCGCAACTCGCGCTTTCTTGCATGCGGTCAGCAGAGTTTTGGGGCATGGCCAAACCTTCAGCGAGCGGTACTTCATTTGCTGTCGCATGTTCTGCCAGCGGGCAGCTATACAGAATTTTCTGCAAGCGATCGTCAAGTAATTCATTTCAGCGAGCGCTCTGACTCTTGTTAAGCAGTTTCGGCCGTACGCCGAGGAAAAGTAACACTCTACATGGGCGAGGTGCCACCGGTAGTTCAATTACCCGAGTTTGGGGTAACCACCCTTTACGGAAAGTACCTACGGGCTGATCGTTCACAAAGGATCGTTCGGCCGTCAACAATTTTGCATATTCGGCATCTTACTCTCACCCTTGCCGGTTGACCTATCATTCTCACCATACCTACTACCAGATCAAAGGCGTCCAAGAAGAACTCAAAGGCAGCCACACCCCAGAAAAGTATTCCTGCTGATTTCCACCCTGCCCATCCTTTGTCAAACGGAAGAGAAGGCCCCAACTCTACTATTTCGACTTCTATTTCGACTTCTGCTGAAAGCCCTGCTGAACGTTTCAAGGCCTTGGCTGATGAGGCCCTACCCAGCTATCTGGCAATCATGTTCGATATTCTGCTGGAAACGAAGAAAGAAATTGCCGCGCTAAAACAGAAGATGGAAGAGATAATCAAAGAAAATATGCAGCCGCGAGAAGAAAACAGTAAGTTAAAGAATGTCGACCAGCCATCTAAAAGCGAGATAGAAATGAAACGTTCAATACTCATAGCTAATGTACCTGAATCTGACAATGAGTCCACTGCGTGTTCCCAAAGAGTTAATCATGACTTCAACTGTACTGTTGCACTACTCGACTTTCTTAACATCGAATGCTTGCCATGTACTTTGTATCGCATATGAAAAACACCAGGAAAGCCTAGACTTCTCAAAGTATTAGGGTGATCCAAAAGTAATGGGGCACCTTGTTTTTTTTTACATTCTTCAACCTTTCTTTCTAATTATCTATGAATGCCAGCATTTTTAACGCCTTTGTATAAAGTGACCTTCGCAGATTATCTTGACAGCACCTTGCAGCACCTCACCGACATTTCTTCGAGTGGCGCTTCAAAGAAGTCAGACAGACTTTTTTAAACGCCATCCGAATTTGGGCTGCTGCCCTGATAGTCCCTCGACACATGGCATACCATTCGAAAGAGCTTTCCAAGCTCTTTTTAATGATTACTCAAATATCCAAAAGCTGCCCATTATTTTATACAAAAAAGGCACTTTATTCGAAAAAGCGCGGTGTTTGACGCAGATTTTCAGACTGAAATTCATGTTTTGGACCACAATCTTTTGGAAATGAGAAAAGTCGAAGTAATCTGCATATATATGGATAGCGCGTAAAAAAGCACTATCAGAAAGTAACTGCTGAGTTTGGGCTTATTTGATTACCTTGACCGCCGGATCTTGCCATTGACCGCCGGATCTTGCCATTGACCGCCGGATCTTGCCACTGGACGGCCGTTCTACATCGCCCTGCTGCTGCTCCATCCTCGGCCGCTACCTCCTCCACTCCTCAACCTCCACCTGCCTCCTCCCTACACCTTTGGCCTTCGTTCTGACTTCTGAGGCCAGGACGCTCGCTCAAGCTCCCTCAACCCTCCTGCTTCGACTTCCACCGGCCAATATCCTGCTTTGGACTGCCGACTCCAATTTTTAGACCTACGCTGGAGCCCTTCTTCAATCGAGCGTGATCGATCGAGACTGTTTGCTGCTCGATTCACGCCATCATATCAACCACGCCTCCCCCTTACACCTTCGTGTGCCCTCCGCCTCCACGCCTCCTCGTCCCACGTCTTCCTCGAATGGCGCCGAAGAGAAGCAGATGTGATGAAGCCGACGCATCTCCCACGTGGGTCAAGGATATGCTTGCGAAATGGGAAGAATATTTAGAAAGGTTTGATCGGATTTTTGCGTTGTTGATGAAGATGCAGGAAACCCAGCAATATCTGTGCTCTACTGAAAAGGAATTAGATGCACGCGTCTCCAATTTTGACAAAACTTTAAACGATGCCGTTTATAGCGCTCTTGCGAAATTCAACTCGGATTCCAGGATAGTCAAAGAAAAGGAGTGCAGAATTACCTGGGTCGGGATCGAAGAGAAGGGGACACCGCAAGCGACCGCTGCGTTCGATCGGGAAGCAATAAAAGAAGTAATTGATGCATCTGGGGATGACGAGCTGGTCGCGGAATGGACCAACCGCAGGATCGACGTCCGTCGTTTCCCCGAGGTACGAACAAAGAAGTTTTCGCGCCTCCGTATCATTAAAATCACTACTTCGAGCCCACAAATAAGGGATAATCTTCTAAACCAGATGAAAAGGGCAAGGCTTTCTTTAACCAAGCAATTTTCGCATTCTTATGCGCGTAGGGATTACACTTTTGAAGAGCTTGAATTTGACAGAGCCTTGCGAAGAAAGGCCGGACTTCTGAACCGCCAAGAAGGGAAACTCCTTTATGTTGTACGGGATTTGCGGATACACAAATTGAAAAATCCGCGCGCACTGGCAAGTTCTGGTAATTTTCTGAGTGACAATCACCAAGATGTAATCGCGGAAAATCTCAGTGCTTGCAGTTCTCCTTCACGGTCAGGTGTCAGCTACTCGCCCAGCTACGACCACCTTCAACCAACAGGACAGAGCCAAGATGAGTCAGCGCCCTCTGCCCCTCGAATGGATCAAGGAACACGGGATCGCCTTCATCGCTAGGATATGGTGGTGGGTGGCATGCGCCCACGCAATACTTCTACCAGATTTTTATTGTCCAATTGCCTTTTTTCAAATCGCCTTTTGTTATTTAATGCACGTTCTATCACCAACAAAATCCCCGATTTTGAGCTTCTCCTCAATAGTCGTCCTTTTTGTGTAGTTATTACCGAAACTTGGTGTAAGCCTCAAATTTTACATGATGCCACCCTCAATTTTCAAATAATTACTGTGTTTATCGTTGTGATCGTGAAGGAAAACGTCCTGGGGGTGGGGTAGCTGCACTTTTTGCGTCCTGTCTGAAGCATTCGCTTATAGAAGCAAGAAATTTTACCGAATTCTGTCAATGTTTGGTCACTCAAGTTACGTTTGCTAGCAGTGATATAAATGTTATAGCTGTCTATAGAAGTCCGTCATGTAGTCAAGATGCACTTTGCGAGTTACTTGATTTTCTCGGTCAGTTTATGGTTGAGCAACGATGTAGAACTATTATCTTGGGAGATTTCAATTTCCCACTTATAGACTGGGACAATATGGCCACCAGAGACAATATGTCAACAAACTCAGCTGCCAGATTTCTTGATTTCTGTTTGGCGCAAAGCCTCTGCCAGCTTGTAACTACTCCCACCCATGGGCTCAATGTTCTTGATCTGGTTCTAGTTGACGACCCAGCTGTCGTTGATTGTGTCAGTGTTATGCCGCCGTTTAGTACTTCAGACCATAATATGGTCTGCCTGGAAATTACCAGAAATTACTTTGATCTTGAGCCCAAAGGCTATTTCCTTGATTTCCAGAATGCAAATTACACTAAGATTGTGCATGAATTTAGTTCGTATAATTGGCACCAGATCTTTGATTGTTGTGCAAGTTCAGACGAATGCTATGGGCATTTCGTTTCTATCTGCCATCTACTCATACGTAAGTATGTACCACTTCGCAGAAAGCATGGCACATATGCTAAGATACCTGATAAACTACTTAGGCTTAGTAAGAGAGTGGCTTATCTTTATCACTGTCGAGCCTCACTGGGTATGCATAAGTACATTTCGTTGGCTCGTAAACTCAAGCGGGAAGTAGCCCGCTGGAGGAGCGCCAGCGAAAGCAGAATTGCTAGTTCGGGAAACTACAGAGAATTTTATAGGTACTGTAACCACAAGCTGAAACTTTCGGATCGTATACCTAATCTCAGGGAAGGTGACAACATCTTACGTGATGACATGCAAAAAGCAAACCTTTTCGCAGATTACTTTGAGAAGGTTTACATAAGTCATTCCCCCACTTCCGTGACACTGGCCCCTAAGACTGATAAAGTACTTGACTGGGTCGCCATCACTACCGAATTGGTTTACAATAAGCTTCGCAAATTGCCAAAAAGGAACTCCACCTCTCCAGATGGGATACCGTACATTTTCCTAAAAAATGCCGCTCTGGGACTAGCTTCCCCCCTTACCATATTGTTCAACAGATTCCTCTTGAGGGGTGAGGTTTCGCAAATTTGGAAGCTTGGGCTTGTTAAGCCCATCCACAAGAAGGGGCTCAAAACATCCGTTGGCAACTACCGCCCAATATGTTTGACTTGCTCAGTATGTAAAGTTTTGGAAAGAATACTGTGTGAGGGTATTATCAAATTTTTGAGCCAAAATAAGCTACTTACCAAGGCACAAAATGGGTTCCTTAGCAAGAGATCAACTATGTCCGCTCTCGTGTCTTCGGTCCCACTTTGGCATAGAGAAGTGGATCGATGCCGATATGTCTCTGTATGTTTTGTAGACTACAGCAAAGCCTTTGACTCCATTTCTATACCGCTGCTTCTTGTTAAACTCCAAGCCTATGGCATCCAAGGCTCGTTGCTAAAATTTTTGAACTCCTTTCTCAATGGTAGACAACAATCAGTTACCATCAACGCCGTTAATTCACGGGTTTACAATACCACGAGCGGCGTACCTCAAGGGTCGGTTCTTGGCCCCTTGCTGTTTCTCGTATACGTAAATGACCTTCCTAGCGCTCTCCCAGTGGGCACTTTTTGTTCCATTTATGCTGATGATTCCAAAATCTACACCATAAATGATGCCGCTCTCTTACAAGAAGCCATAAATGCACTTGCTGCATGGTCGTCAACATGGCAGCTAACTATTTCCAAAGAGAAGTCCTGTGTTATGACCTTCGGCAGAAACCACCCCATAGTTGAATTCAAGCTTGAAGGGTCCATCTTACATCGTACCCGCTCAATTCGTGATTTGGGTGTTGAGTACACTGACAGCTTCGACTTCCACGCGTACATCTCAGAGATCGTTTCAAAGGCTAAATGCCGATCAAATCATATCCTCAAAGCATTTAGCAGTCGGGATCCCATACTGCTTTGCAAACTGTTTATTGCCTACGTTAGACCTTTACTCGAATACTGCTCTCCTCTGTGGTCTCCTCAAGACAGAGCACAGATTGAAGCTATAGAGAAAGTCCAGAAGTCCTTTACTTATAGAATTTTCGCCAGAAAAGGCATATTTGAACTGTCTTATCTCGGCAGGATCAAAAAATTGCATACCCTTACACTGGAAGACAGAAGAATTCTTGCGGACTTTGCATTCATCTACAAGCTCACCACGAACGAACTTGACCTCAATCTTTTTGACATTTTTGAAGAACCACAGCGAGTAAATGTAACAAGAGGCCATCCGTTCAAAATTAAAGTCGATAAAGCCAGACTTTCTTCTTATGAGCAAAGCTTTATTGGACGTGTGCAGATGCCCCGGAATGGTCTGGACCCCCAGCTTTTAAAGTATTCTTCTGCGGCATCTTTCTGCTCTCATTTGCTTGAGTACCTTCACTCTCGTAACACGTTGGTATCATCTTAAGATCCCTTTAACCTATAATCTGTTTACTTGTTTTTTTTTTCATGAGCTTTTTGTTTTATTATTCTCATTCGGTAAATCGTTGCGTTTTTGAGTTGTCTTTCGTACCTGTCTTATTTGTTTACTGAATAAACAATCAATCAATCAATCAATTGATGAAAGAATAAGTAATATGCCCCCTGATACCCAGTGCTATATCTTCTGTTCTAAAGCCTTGAGACCACCGAGCTGTGGATTTGGTAACAGTCCCCTCACCCATTACTGCGCACATATCTTTGGTAGGCTCACTTGTTTTACTGCGGCGCTGCTGCTCAAAATTCAAAATTACTTGAAGTGGTGAGCTTTAATTTTAAGCGCTTATAAAAATGACGCCACGTGACAGTGCCCAACTATAGACCTCGATCGGAAGGTTCTGTTATGTGCTAACATCTGCCAAAACTTGGACTTCCAATTGGCTTTTCGATTTGAGAAAACTGCATTTATTCTCTAGCTGCCCCATTACTTTTGGATCACCCTAATAATTTTGCCCACAAGTTCTTTCCAAGTTATTGCTCGTGCTCTCCTGGATTGAGGTTCTTCTCTAACAAAGGAGTTTTTATACACCCTCTTTGCCGAGGGAGGTGAGGGAACGTATGCGAGAGGAACGCCGGTCTAGATTGTCTAATGCTAACTTAAAAAATCCAAATTTGAACTCTACTATGAATCCCTCCTCTACGCTCACAAGGTTCTGATCCTACTGTTATGTCATCCACGCTCACAACTGTTTCGAAAAACTAAATGATCTTCCTCGGAATTGTATGTCTCATTTATCATGTTGTCTTTCTAATATACGTTCCATGATCAGTAATGCGGACGATTTAATTTTGAGACTTTGTAGTGAGCATCTTGATGTTGTTTTCTTGACAGAGACCTTGTTATTAACAATGAACTCTCAGCTCTTCTTGATATTGCTTCCTCAACATACATCGGGATCAGGTGTGAATTGTGACCGAATTCGCCGTAGAGGAGGCGGAGTCGCTATTTTGATCCGAAAAACTATTTCAGTAAATGTGGTTTTCAGTGAATCTATGGCTAACTCCCACGAAATGTTAGTCTGCGAGCTTATATTTTCAGGCAAAACACTACGATTGATATTGATCTATAAGGTCCCAAATTGTAGCGCCGTGGACCTAATCAATCTAACAAAAGCACTCAGTGATTTTAGTGCTTTTGAAGGTCCCACTATCTAGTTAGGTGACACAGAGATGTTCACTGATTTTTTTTACTACCCATGGCTTTGTGCAGCTTGTCAAAGGTTCCACTAGAGGAAATTCCGTACTTGATTTTATCTTTTGCAATCGTCTTAATCTGGTTGCCGATATTGAGATATGCTCCCCAATTGGTACAGTGATCACTCCACAATTAACTTTTCACTCCGAGTGCCTTGCACTCCCGCTACAGAAATTCTTATCAAGGATTTCAAGAGAGCGAATTACTCTATTGTGCGAGAGTATTTATCAAGCATTGACTGGCTGGGTTGTTTCACACCCTTAAGTTCCGTCAATGAAATGTATGGACTTTTTCTTGCCGTTTTACAATACGCAGTGGAAAATTTCATCCCATTATGTAGAGTTTTGGAAAATCAACGAAGTCTACCATCTTACCTTATAAACATGATCAAGAAACGGGATATGCTTTGGAATCATGCTGTTGATTGTGGAAGTATTGAAGTTTGGTCTGCTTTCAGAAAATTCAATTGTAAACTTGAAAAAGCTTTCCATAAATACTACATCCATTTGGAGAAAAAACTCATTCTATCCAAAAATAAAAGGTGGTGTTTTCGTTATATGAGAACTCATCTTTTGGATAAATGTGTCTCATATCCACTAGTAGGTAGCTCTGGAAAATCTCTATTACGCGACACAGATAAAGCTGATCTCCTAGCTGAAGAATTTCAAAAAGTCTGCAGTAAAAGTTCATCCGCAATTTATTACCCAGCTCCTATGTTCCTGGAAATGAGATCAGTCTGGTTCTCAAGAGACAAAATAGTCACAATCCTTTCCAAATGTCCTAGTTCTTTTTCAGTGACCCCTGATGGAATACCTTTGTTTTTCATCAAAGAAGTGCTCCCTGAAATCGGTTCTCCTCTAGAGTTTCTATTCAACCTGTCCTACA